ATGACTTTTCTTTTAACTTAAGCAGGTTTTTGATCCGACTGTTTACTAAACTGTTTAAGAACTACTGAGTCGACTGCAGTTCAGATATTTTGGTTCATGATTGAAGTTGTTGATCTTATTGTTCCTGATAGGAGATTCGTTGACAATGTTTTTTTAATGAAGAAGACAGTCACCACTTTGAGGAGTATTGATAAAGGTCAGGAGGGTGTGCACGTTTCAACATGGACACCGACACTGACCACATGTCACTAATTAAAGGGAAACTCCACCACTTTTCCACATAAAGACTGACTCACTCATCAGGAGAAGTGCCAGTCAGTCTATAAAAACCGTTGGTTGTTGCCTTCTGTGACTCTGGGGCGCTGCTGGTTTTGTAGTAAAACCATCGTGTTATTTCAGCTTTGGCTTTGACAGAAATCTTGAATCCCAAACTGGAGGTGCTGGTCTGCTGAGGAGACACAGGAGGCAGCGATGGATTAAAGGAAATGTGGGAGCTTTACCCTTAATACGGACTAAAAACCAGATTATCTCGGCCCTCTGCTGCTTCTGTTATCACAGTTTTCTTCTTAATCTGTCTCTTACAACTTGCCCAACCTTTTTTTTCCTGAAGTGTGGCTTTAACTGGTATTCAGCGTAGTTTTAAAAAACAAAAAGTAAAAACTAATTTTTTGACAGTCTTTTTCAGCAGAAGCAACCTTCACGCCACTCAGTGTGTGAATAGCAGCTTTGTCACGAGCTCGGCTCACTCGTCAAGTGTGTTTGTGAACATGCAATTGTTTTCTGTGGCTTTCTTCCTGTTCATCTGGCTTCCTTTCATTCTTCTCATTTTCTTGTCACTGCTGTCCTGCACATCAAGCATAAAACAAACAAAACAAAAAACTCGAGCCATGAAGTTAAAAAAAACAAACGAGCATGTATTTGTGATGTAGGTGAGTAAACTGAAAAGTCATGCAGCTATGAGCGGTGAAGAGGTTCAGAGGGTTTAATGAGGATTTTGGCTGCTGGAGGCGGAGCGTGGAGGTCTGGGGATTGTGTCATCAGCAGGCATGCTCCCTCCTGCAGCCGTGACATCACTGCAGCATTCCTTTCCACAGAGCTGGAACAACAGAGACCCCCATCACTCTCCTCATCGCCATCTCCTGTTAACCCTCTCTGCACATTCCTGCCTCGCTCACGCTGACCCACATCGACCAGCAAAGTTTCACCCCGACTCCTCTCCCTCCATCACCCTCTTTCTGTGACTTTTGAGGAGGGACCTCGCGAGCTTCGCCTTCCAGAAACCAACCATAATATTTGCTGATGGGCAGATCTGATATTACTGAGGCTCGCTGCAAACACAACAAAGCCACTTTTTCATGGCTCTCACAGACATCACTCACTGTGTGTTCTCCCCCCTCCTCTCCTGATATACCAACATCTCCTCTTGCACAATGCCCTGATTCATCGCTGCTCCTGTGCAGCGGAACACAAAAAGCCTCATCAGGAGAGTCTGATGAAGTCCACCGGCCAGACGGTGGACGGCCGGCCGGCGAGGCCCGAATGGAAGCGCTGCCGTGAGACACTGATAGGGAGTCAAGGCTAAAGTGATATAATGTTGTGGGGGAAGGGAAGAAGGAAAGAGGGAGAAGAAAAAAGGAGGCAGACTCGATGAGGGAGGTAGGGAAAATAAAGCTGACAGAACAATAAGGCAGAGCTGCACAGGAGAGAGAGAAAGGGGGCAGTTTGAGATAGCTGGAAAAGGCAGGTACAGTCACATCCTGCTGGAGTGTGAAAAGATAAAGCAGTGGGAGGTCGCTGCAAGTCCGGGTGAAAACATTACGAGAAACTTCATGACATTTGTAAAAACTGTGTGCTTTTGGTATGACTGCACACTAAGTTGCATAACTTTCTGTGGGTGTGTGTGTGTGTCTACGTGCATGCATGCTTGTGTGTGTGTGTTTGCCAAGTTTTCATAGTGGATGAATGTGTCATGTTTTTTACTGCACTTTGCCCGAGATTAACTGTTCACCTTTTACGGTCGGGAGGGAGGTGGTATTGTCATTCAGCCAGGGCGGGAGGAGGGGTCTGCGGGCGGGAGAGCAAGGGGAGGGAGGTACAGAAGGAAAAGGAGTGGCCTTCTGCAGATAGTCGCCCCTCTCCACCGGAGTCAAGTCTTCTCTCAGAGGCAGGACACAGGAGGGAAAATAAGGCAGAAGTTTAGAGACACAGAACAGGGAAGGAGAAAGAGCAGAAGAGAGGGAGCTGCCTTCAAACCACATCTTCTTCCAGGTATGTAACAGCAGCTCACGGCCGCTGTGAAGGGGTTAAAGGGAAGTACGGGGTTCACATTTGTGCTTTTTGCCTCTGAAAACCATTCATTACGGGTAATGAGAGCTGTTTGAGTGTGAATTTACTTCTTCAAAGTGAAAGTGAACACTCCCACAAAGTTGACTGAGGGCGTTCACACGTAGACTAAATACTGTTGAGCTGATAGGGATGCAATGTCCTCTTGACTGTTCTCATATTCTAGTGTCAGATCAAGTGAAGTGATGATTTATGGTGTGTTTCAGTTTTACATTGAATAGTCGACTAAAACAATCTGAGTTAATCGCAGCTATTGTTCTGTCCTCCTGTCCAGGACAGTCCAGACAGTCATGGCATCAGCAGCTTCACCAAAGAGGATGGTGTCTTCTGTCTTCATCACTCTGGCGTCTCCGTACCGAGCCACAGTGACCCAGCAGCAGCCCGCCCTCCAGGCTCACAGCGCCAGAGACAAGCAGCACACAGCTGTACGAGTCGGTCCAGGTGACAGCAAACCCGCCCTCAGACACAAGAGAGAGGAGCGCTCGCCATCCGAGTCCTACAGCAGCGCAAAGAGCAAAGACCGGCCGCTCTCAGAGGCCTCGGCCAGAACTTCAGACCCCCAGAGCCCCGTAAGTGTCCGACCTGGACCCAGCAGAGCACAGCAGCAGGAAGAAGAAGCCCATAGCAGTGCTCCAGGTACTCTTCATACATCTACTTTTCAAGTTGCCGTGGACAACCTATATTGAGAAAGTGTCCCAGCACATAACCAATGGAGCCCAGCAGAGCATGATCATGTGCTCTGAATTTGTCCCTCTTTAGCTTTGCAATGGAAATGTGCTTTTAAATGCCTTTTTGATGTGGCCAGATTCCTGCTGCATGTAATCAATTACAACTCATTTGGGGTTTTCTCCGGATACAAATTAGAATTAAATGCTTTCCTGGCTTTAATTTGAAGAAACATTTATCTATTATTCAAAAACTAGACTCCACTGATTTCACACATCAAATCTCCATATTGTCTGCACATGTGAAAAATCCGTCTGAAGCATTTTGTGGCTCCAGCTTGAAGCCGCCGTGTGAAGTCTGATACATCAGTTGACGTCACCTGAGTCAGCGCTGCTTGGGGCTGAAGACTGTGAGTCACAAAATGTAAAATATCTGGATGTGTGGCGTTAGACAGACGTGAGCAAAGCAAAGCTTTTCATCTTTGTTAGACGACAGCAGCCTCAGGCCACATCAGCTGCTACGGACACGTCACACAGCAGAAAACAGCATCCCTGATTCTGCTGCAGCGATTCTGGTCATTTTGAACCACTGTGAGGCCAACGTTGTTTTAAGGGGGGAATTCTAATCATTTGTTAACTCTCACTTGCAGGTTGAAAGTGATTTTCAGCTTCATTGTTGGCTTCTGTTTTCAGACAAGTTTGGCACAAGCTTAGGACACATAGCCCCATAAACATCAAAGTCTCACCTCATTTTATACTATTTTTTATATTAATTTTTATCTGAATTTACTAATTTAACCATTATTTCTATACATGCACATGTATGCATGTGTTTAAAAATGGATATATATGATTTAACATTAATCCCAGGAAATGTCTGAGCTTACTGCAAACAAAAATAAACATAAAGATCTATTTCTGTGTACGTTACTACACTGTAAATCATTCAGTGTATAAATGTAAGTTCTCTGGCTGCCATAAAAATGTGAGCTACCTTTACTGAGGTTGATTAATTAGTTTAAAGTCACTTTATGAGCCGCTGAAGCATAAATCTAGCTGAAGTGAAATAACTGAACTTGAGAAAACAAGTGCAATGAATGTAAGATATTAATTTGGATCAACAGACAGTTTAAAGAGTTTCTTCTTTAAGAATTTACAGCCTCAGCTGTCCAAGTCNGTTACCTGTCCAGGTGAACCTGCCTTCACCCTGAGTCAGCTGGGATAGACTCCAGCCCCCCCGCGACCCTAGTGAGGATTAAGCGGTGTATAGATGATGGATGGATGGATTGCTCTGAACCTTTTTCTCCATTTTGCAGAGGACCAGCACCGTCAGACGGCTCCAGCGGCCCTCTTGCACACTGTCGTGGTGCGACTGGGAGCCTTACTGGTGCTCATGATGACTGTGGGCACTTGGTCTGACGTCCTCCACGTCCTCACCTCTTTTTTAGGAGAAGCAGTTTGTCTGCTGCCCTCTCAGGATCTGCTGCAGGCGGTGCTAAAGGTCTGTGTGAATCAGCCCTGGCACTCAAAAACGATTTCTACTAATATTAACTAATTACTTCTCCTTTGGTTGCATTTCTTATTATAAAACTGACTTTTGTTAGCAGCTGTGACACACATTCAAATGACAGGTGACGGGACATTTAATTGTCATGTTTCATTTTCAGGAAGAAGAAGAAACCAGGTCGAGGAAACACAGAGTGCGCTTCAGTGACAAAACAACCACAAGAAGAGCGTCGTCTCATGACAGTTAATGGTGCATCGAAGCTGTACCTCAAACACCAGCAACTACCTCAGATGTTAAGATGTGCTACTAGTGCTCAGTATTACTGGTAATAAAAAGACGTTTGTGGCCGCACTTTATGGACTTATTGTGTCCTTGCTGAGTCTTTTTTTTTAAGCAGAAGGAAAGAGTGAAGCTGCTTCGATGCGTCATATGAGCTGCAAGACAACAATTATGTATTTGTGATGTTTTTCTGTAGAAACAGCACAAATGAGGTCATCTACAAGTCAAGACGTGAGAAGACGTGAGTTCCCTTGAAAGTGTGAAATTTTAGACAGAGCTCTAAAACAGTGACAGGGTGCATTTATTTATTTATTTTTTCTGTCTACCCTAACTTGCAGGGATTGTGCAATTCAGGCATGAGGCTGATTCATCACTTTAATAAAACACCAGCGTGCGTGATGTTCTTACCATCATCACTGAAGCATGAAGGCAAACTTCACTCACCTTATCGCAACAACCAGAACAAAAAGCAACACATTCTTGATGCCAACCACCATAAAACAAATAGAAGTAGAGACCTA